ATTAGTGAAGGGACGAGCTTTGATTTCAGGCCCTTCAGAAATAACGCGATGTGACAGTGCCCATGTCTAGACCTCATCAGAAGGTTTTGATATGTACCAACATGTGCCAAAACTTGGGCATCCAATAACGTTATCTTTCTGAGCAAACTGCATTTGTTAGGCACCCCATTAGTTTTGGATCATCCTATTTCATGTTAAGTTTTGAGAAGGGTACAAATAGCAACAAAAATTTTAGCGTAAAAATGACGCATCAAATGCTACAACGCACATGGGGCAATTTTTGCGACATTTGCGAATGAATTTGATTAGAAAACGCTCTGAATTAAACGATTATTTGAGTAAGAAATATTTATAAAAAATGACAATAATATTTTGTCTACAATCCACATTAGCGTCTCAATGAGCATTAGCCTCAGCTATGAGGCATTTATAGGGGTCAAGAGCCAAACAGCTCAAAATTGGGGGATGGTAAACATTCCAATAAATGAAGTCAAGGCAACGAACGTGCGAATATACACCTCATTATTATTTATCCTTGTCGGAGTTCAACCTATATAGAAGTCAAGTGGTCCTTTGAACGACATTCAGATGAATCGGTCGGTATATAAGCGGCAGTCGTATGGGCAAAATTAGCTCAAAAAGCATTTGGTTAATATCTATCTTCTTCATTACGAGTTTTCTTGAAAATTCATTTTGAGTGAGCTTGGATTAAGTTGGGCCTTTAGAGGATCTAACTTTTTGAACACGTCTGTCGAAAATAAGATATGTCAATGCTTCGTTAGATTCTCAAACTCTAAATTCCTCTTTCTAAACTTGCTAAAAATAACTAGAAGACATTTGAACACTACCGTAGTCTAAACTCTCGCGAAACTAGATGTACGAGTATAGTCAATTTTATACAAAGTGCTTGTTCTTTTTACTCTGTTAGATGAGTCTAGAGCTTCGTGTCTTGTTATCCATCTTTGATTGTTTTGCCCTGCGGCTGAAGAGGCTGGTTTTATGCGTTGTTTGAACTACCTGTTTAATGTTCTTTCCTTTCTGAAGCACCTCAAGTGCATTTATAAGGAAAAATATTTTTTCAGATCGTAACCCTGCAAAATCCCTGCTAGATGAGGGCTATCTTCTTATTGCTTAATACTCTCCTCAGCTGTTGGGCCCAGTACGAAACCCAAACATCCGGATATGGCACAAATAATCCCTACGAAGTGCAAAAGGTTGCGAAGCAGTCACCCCAGACTAGAACCGCAGACTACACCTCTTACAAAGCTCCGCGATCCGGTCGCAAACCTAATTTTCAGAAGGAGGAACAGGTAAGATTTCGGTAGAGAGGTTACAGATTTTTTCACTCAAAAATTCAGGCCAAAACCACAAAAGAAACCCAAAACTTCACAATGAACAGTAGTAGATTCGGAAATGGATCCGCTACGACCGCACAGCCGAATAATCAGGTGAAAATTTTTTTGATGCTATCGGCCATCTAAATTTGAACGTTTCAGAGCTCTAACTTACAGCGCAATGGAATCAGTGCTTTGGTTTATAACACAGCTGGAGGGACCCTAATTGTTCCTGTTCTACCCTCATTCTTGTATGGGGGCGCAGCGAATGGGTATGGAGGAAACTTTTTGGGAACTCCAATCCAAATAAATGGCAATGTGAGTGAACAATTGCTCGGTTTGCTTTTGAAGCAGCATCCAGAGTCGACCGACTGCCAGCGCCGTGCCAGCGTCGTTCGACCAGTCGATACCTGGTCTATGGCGCTGGCACGGCGCTGGCACAGGCAACTCTGGACGGAGTCTGCGAACTTGAAACCCAACATTTAGGCCTTTGAACGACGAAGGTCTAATAAAGCAGACGCAAATGCAGGCGTTAACCAGCAAAATCAAGTATGTCCTTAGCACCTACTTATAAAACGTAGCGAAAATTCAGCTTCAGGCAAATGCTGGCAGTGAAACCTCTTTTAACGCTGTAAATCCCCCTGGAGTTTTTGCTGGTGCTCCTATCTTTATTCCCAACTTGAACAATTTGTTTCAAGGCAACCTCTTGCTACCCAGTTTCCAGCAGGTAAGGAATGTCTTCTTCAATGACAGGTTCTGAAAATTATGAAACAATTCAGGTCAACCAGCAAGAAAGCGGTAATCACATTCAGCACCAGGCTCAGGTTAGATTTGTAGTCGATAATCACGTCTATTTTATATTTTGAAAATTTCAAAATGTTTTCCAGCCGCCCAGTTACCAAGCACCCAGGCCCGATCCAACCTACGAAGATGGTCAATCAAACTACGATAATCAACAGCCGGGGCCGGTGACCAGTGCGTACAGTAGACCTACCAGCTACAGTACCCCGCCGAGTACTGCAGCCACATTTCCGACTCTCATGACGTCACCAACGCCCCCAACTGCTGAATATAATAGACCGGAGCCAATAAACCCCTATCGACATCGTCGTCATTAGGGGGAATGAAAATTTCATGGAAATGTATACCTCACAAACAACCTTGAATAATAAATTGTTCAAAATTGGCTGACTATATGCTTTGAAAAAAGTGAGGAAAATTGATTTTCGAGGCCAGCGGTGATTCAGATAGAAAAGAAATACCATTAGATTCAACTCTAACAACAAAAAGTCTTGTCGTGAAAGGAATTCCAAAACCACAAATTTGCTGATTTGTAATGGAGCGATTTTAGCAATCGTGGCCTAGTTTCATAACCGAGCGGCATTAAAATCGAAATTACGAACAAGTTATCTAAGCAGTTCGTATAAAAGACTGGCAGCAGTTTTACTGCGAGTTTGAACTGAGCTGTTTATCAAATCAAACATTTTCTTTGTATTTCTTGCAAGAAGAATTATGAGAGAAGGCTCCTTCTATCTGGCATGTCGCCAAATGTCGTTCCTCATGCTTCTAAAAACCTTTTTTATGTACCAGAATGTTTTGTTTTCTTGCATTTTCACATAAATTTTCTTGGATTGAATTGAGATTTTTTTGAAGGATGAAGCTCCCACTTCTCCTGAGCCTGGTAGCACTAAGTCTACAGGACTATGCCCTTCCTCCGTCTGGATACGGGAACAACCCGGCACAAGTGCAGAACATTGCCATCAATGCACCTGCAACCATACCCCCGGTCAGTGCGGGAAGCATGGGATTCGGTGGAGGTTTTGGACCCGGTGCAGCCGGCGGAGGCAG